GGAGGGTGTATACTTTCAAGGCTGTAGGAGCTTATGCTGAGGTCTAATTTGGGGTGACACATAAATTTCCCTAGAAAAGTCAGACTACCCCCATCCCCAATCATTACTCCCAAACTGTGTCCAAGATAATCTGGAAACAACATACGAGTCATCAAAAGTGAGCTTGGGTCTCCGGACATTAGTGCTGCTGCTGGATAGTAGGGGCAGGGCAGCCCAGGACGTCATCTCCAGGTGACTGCTACCCATGAGGCCAGTAGTGAAAGTAGAGGTGATGGTGGAAATGGTAGTGGTAGTGGTTGTGGTGGTGGCCGTGGAGGTGGCAGTGGCAGTGACAATGGCAGGAACAGTGACAGTGGCAGTGGCAATAGCAGTGTTGGTGACAGTCACGGTGGCAGAGACTGCCTTTTTTGGAGTGTCTCCCTCCTGGGAAAAAGGAGGACAAATAGCTTTCATTAGGTCCAGCTTTTCAGAACATCTTTTCATAAATGCTTTGAATGTCAAGCACACTAGAAAACAATGCAAGAAAAAAGAGAATAGTCGACACAACTTGAGGATAAATAGGTGACCCTGATACATTTCATGAATGCTGTAAATCACTAGCTTTTGTTCCATGATGACAGCAAACACCAAGCTAATCAGGTGCAGTAATTATATAACCCTGTCATCCTATTAAGACAGCCATGGCTGAGGTCTACATACAGTGGGAAATGTAAGGAGAGGGGAGGAAGAATATAGAGAGGAGAAGAGAGGAGGGAGGAAGAACGGAGGAGAGAGAGGGAAGGAGAGAGGAAGAGAGGGAAAGAGGGAGAGTGGGAAAGAGGGGAAGAGGGAGGGGGAGACACAAAAACACTCAGAGAGAGAGAGAGAGATTATTCAATCAATGGATAATGATGTGGATATTTTTCATGCTGTGGATATTTTTGATAAGGGAACCAATCCAGAAACAGTCTCTAGGTTAAGTAAAGTTCGCATATCACTCTGCAAAATACCGGATACTGTGCAGCAAAATACTGGGAAACCAGGCATTGTACTGCAATCATCAATACCCTGGCTAAACTGAACCTGAAGCAGCCCTTTTGTCCAAGTGAGGCGCTTGACTGGTTTCTTAGTGAGCGCCATGTAAGTGTGCCTTCTTATTTTGAAGTCTTGGGGTGGTGACACCTCATTTTGACCAGGTCAAAAATCAAATGAGTAAAAGCCTCATGAGGGCTTCACTTTGAATAAAGTAGGTGGTAAGAATTGGAATTACATGACTGTGTCGTGTCACGAGACCACCTGCCATGTTCACGGGGCAGACTCTGCCGTCCCCACTTGGCAATTGTGGGACCATCCAACATCTGATCATACTTTTCATGTAGCTTTTTCCTCCTCCTGCTCATCTAAGTTGGTATCTCCCTAAGGTTGGCATGCCCCAATGTTTACTCCTCAGCTCTCTTCCTTCTTGATCAGATTGTCAACCCTTTATGTGTTGGCACAGACTCAACAATATGCAGATACATTCCAAATAGAAACCTCAATCTTACCCTTTCTCTAAGTTCCAGACCTGCCGTGACCACCCTCAGTAGTTCCACCAAGATGACCCATTAGCTCCTCTCATTTCTTTCAAGCCAAATCAGTTCCCTCTTTCTGTTAAAGGCACAGTGGTCTTCCCTGTCATTAAGACTGGGTTCTTCCATGTCAGTGAAGGGCTTCCGATTGTGTTTGGCACAGTTCTACAGGGCACTGCGGTAGTCCCTGTAGGGGCATTTGACCTGGCAGGGTAGAGACTCCCCAGCTTGCCCTCCATCTGAGCTGTTCTGCTTTAATCAGATTTATATACTGAAGTTCTGTAAATCATTCCTTTTTAAAACATGATAATGCTCCTAAAACTATTTTTGAAAACCACTGCTCTATTTCATCTTTAAGTTCTTCCTCTTCATTACCCGTATCCAATTAATTACAAACTCCTATTCATTATATCTCCCTGACAATTCTCAAAATTTTCCCTTTTCTCCTTTGAAGCCTCAAAGCACAGGCACGCATGGCTTCACACCGAGACTAACAAGTAATCTCGTAGCTGGACTCCCAGCCTCCAAGCTAGGTTCTCCATCGACCCTCAATCTGCTGCCTCTTGACCTGAGCTTCCTAAGTGAAGCTACAAGCATTTCCCTACCCTACACCCAAATTTAGACTCAAGGCTGAGCTCCTTTGCTGGCATTCAAGGCCATCCTTGATCTGATTTCAGCTTTCTGCCCAATCTCTGACTGTCTCCTTCCAGGGACTTCAGCATTGACCAAACTGATCACACCCCCATTTTCTTCACTTTCCTGATTTGGATCATGTGGAATCTTACATTTCAAAAAGGCTTCGATTCAATACTTTTTTTTTCACATTGTACTAATTCATTCTATTATTTTTATTTTATTTAAAAAAAATTAAATTGTAGTAACATACACATATCATAAAATTTGCCATCTTAATCATTTTTAAGTGTAAATTCAGTAAAGTTAACTCTATTCACATTGTTGTGCAACCAATCTCCAGAACTCGTTTCATCTTGCAAAACTGAAACTCTATGCCCATCAAACAACAACACCCTTTTCCCTCTTGTCTTGCCTCTGGAAACCACCATTCTACTTTTTATCTCTATAGATGTGACTACACTAGGGACATCATAGAGATGGAATCCTATGCTATTTGTCCTCTGGTATGTGGCTTCTTTCACTTAAGATAATGTCCTCAAGGTTCATCCATGTCGTAGCATATGGTAGGATTTCCTTCTTTTTTAAGACTGGAGAATATTCCAATGCATGGATAAACCATATTTTATTTATCCACTTCTTTGTAATTTTAAACCTTACTTATCTATTAATTCTCAGCTCAACAAATGGCTCTTCCACCAGGAAAGCTGCCTTATGTCTATACCCATGAGTATTTTAATCATCCTTGGACCATTCAGAGGCCTGTCTCTCTCTCTTCTCTATGACACCAATCCCCAACTATTTTATATTCTAGTCCTTTAAGCACCAGTCTCATTGCTTGCCTTAGATTGAGAGCTCTTTGAGCACTGCAGCCATCTCTGATTTATGACACTGCTCCTCCAGCCCACAGCCCAGTGCTCTCGGTGTTTGCCGAATATATGTGTGCAAGCCTGCCTTAGTCAACAGGGTCACTTTAAAGATAAAAGCCAAATGGGATACTTCTCACATCCATGCAAGTTGAACTTTTCCACTTGATCCTGGACCTTCTGATTATCAAATAATTCATACCACTTAAAGCTTACTGAGATAAATGTGCTGAGAAGCTATGCTTCTACAAATTGTTATGATGGATTTGGAAAAGATATTTTAAAGATCATCACGGATTTTATTCAACTCAAACATGTAAAGGAATCAGAGCTGTAAGAAAACTCCTAAGCTAGCTCCATGTTTCCACCGCGAGAGCTAGATTTGTCCAGACCAAACAGTGGGGTTAGTCCAAGACAGTGCCACTTCTCTCTATGGTCAAGATATGTGACAACAACCCTGAAACACCAGGTCACCACACACACAGCATTGACGCCAGTTCTGGCATATTTGACTGTAAATGGCTGGATTCAGTCATGATCATATAAGTTGTATAAACATGTCATTTGTCTACACTTGCCCACCCATTGAGCCAATAAACACAACTTCGTGTCTAAATGGTATAAAGAAGACTCTGAGAGCACAAAATTGAGAACACTTTTGGAGCTGGAAGAAGCCTTACAGACTATCTAGTCAAATCCATTCATTTTATGTACTCAGAGATGTTTCATGATTTGTCCAAGGTCACAGGGCAAATTTTTTGCAGTGCTAGCACCACATGAGTTAAGGGTCTAGTCTTTTAACTCCTAGGCTAGGGCAAAAATTATACCACAAAGTCTCCCAGATTGCAGACCATTAATAGAAAGAAGAAATGGCCAAAGAAGAGGCACTGGTCGCTCACTCCTATCATGGGGAACCCCAGTGATTTCCTTAAGAAAGATGATCCATTGCTGGTTGCAAATGTAGTCATATTTATCAGGTTTCCCCAGTAATTTTTAGCTCTTGTGAAAATGACTTTGCATATTCTTATAGGCATTATCACTGTCATAGTAACATCTGTATTGTTTCTATCACCTAATTATTTGTGACAATATACTCGACACAATACAAAGAATCCCTGGATATCATGCATGCCCTCCAAAAGCTTGCAATAGAAGAAAGCATAACATTAATTACATTCAGTATGAAAAATAAGATGAATAGTGTAATTACTGTCAAGAATAAATGGTTTAATTCCCAGCATTACAGCATCAACACATGTTAAATGTATATGCAAATGTTACGTGTACAAACACATGACTTTCATATATCAGCAATGAAATATTCCTAGATACGTATGTCAACACAGCCATTTCAGACAATGAAGGACTCTAAATTGAAGTTTTTAAAGCTCAGAGTCCTCACAGCCTTTCATGGGGTGCTAAATGAGTACATCTGGTTCAGGACCCACAATGTTGGCATCAGACATTTGAAAACTTGTTGATTTTCATTCATTTCCTTTTTATATTACATTTAAAGGAAACTAGATGCATGTGGATGCTACATCTACATATACATGTTTTTACATGAAAAAGCAGATACATTTGTCATTAATATTCATTAGTGACACGGTTGCTGGTGGTTTCCACAGTTTATGTACCTATACCTGATTGAAATGGAAGACACTGTGCGTGGGTGTGAAAAGTGATACAAATTTTCAATTATCTATGCTAATCAAGCAGCAGTGCAGCAAATCCAAATACTGGATGATTCTTTAGTTGGGCATAGAAGCATTACTGTGCGATTTTAGTAACAGATTCACCTTTTAAATTTCATCTTACTTAGTCACTATTTCTGAATACAATTCACATTTTCAAAGCTGAGCGGCAGAAGAATGCAACTTGGAGATCCAGCCCCAGTTCAGTGACCTTGGGCAATCTCATCCCATCTATTTGTTCTTTTATTCACTAAACGATTGGTGCCTACCATGTGCCAGATGCTGTGGTTAGCTTTATGAAAGTGTCCTCCCTGCCCCCAAGATATGAAAAGATTTGACCAAAGGATGTCCAAGGCCCTGAATCTCTGCATGTGCAATCGGTTTGGGGAAGCAAGATAGAGAAATAATTTGGAATGAAAAATTCATCCTGAGATTTGAGATTTGAAATAATGGAGAGTTTGTATATTTGTGTACACACACACACACACACACACACACACACACCTGTATTTTCTCTCTGCCTCCTCCTCTCTTCCCCCTGCAACATCCCATCTGGTTAACTCAAGTAAGATAAGCTGGGTTAACTTAATTCAACCTGCCAATTATAATATTTCTTCCAAGATGCTTACATTTACAGATATCCCTTTGAAAGTAGCACAGAATTTTCCTTCGCTTCTCTTAGGTTTGGTAGAAGTGATTTGTCCGGTTGTGGAGAAGTTTTTGTCCTGACTGAAGGGACCATTATTGCCACTGATATTTCTGCGGCGTGGAGGGTCCTCTGGCAGTGGGGAAAGTGGGGGAGGAAACAGTTTTTCTTCTTTTCTTCTATTTGCTCTCCTGGATGAATTATTTCTGTGGAAACAAAAAGTGTAGGGTGTTATCAAGTCTCCTCTCTGTTTATTCTGCTTATTACCATGATGCTGTTACTTAGAGCTAATTCAATATTTTAATTGATGACCATTTACCTATGGTGAAGAGTATATATAAAAATGCATGTAGACATAGCGATAGATTTATATAGATATCTCTCTCTCTCTCTCCTTCTCTCACTCTGTCTGTCTGTCTCTCTCTCTATATATACATCCATGTGTATCCAAGAATAAACATGTCTTTGAAGCAGAATTCCATGATAAGTGTAAATGTCTAATGGAGTGTGCTACAGTGTGATCGTTGCAACCTTTCAAGATTACTGTTAATTAGATTTTTATGGAAAATACAATGCAGACTTTAATCCAATATTTCAGTATGGTTCCTACTTATTTTGCCCAAGGACCTAACTGCATAGTCATGTAATAAATGGTACAATAAACAATAAGTGAAAGGATATTTTCTTAAGAAATACTATGCTTATACATTACTTAGAAACAAATAATGCAATAAATACTATTGTAACATATTGCAAATTGTATGTACAAACTGTTCTACCCCAACGCCAAGGCTAATGAGCCCCTAACCTTAAATTGTTATATCGAAGTACTGATGTACTCCACTTTGCAAAACTCCATTTAAAAATTTTTTTTGGTCATATTGACACAAGACATCTACAATCCCAAAAGTGCTCCTGTGCTTTCAAACTGATTTATCTGCCCATTAAATGGGCACCATCGAAAAGACAGAGACTTCAAATAAAACAGAACAACTAAAACCTTATGCTAACTGCTTAACATGGTAATTGGGTCATGGATTTTCATTTTAGTTACTGTCTTAGACTAATCAATGAAGATTACTTGAATTTTAATCTTTTCTTAGACAACTAATATCGCACTCTTCAGCCATTTACTTTTCATGATTATTGACTACAATTTTCAATAGCAAATTAAGCCAACAAGAATTTATGTTTTCCTCTTGGTCAAGTTCAGCCAGTGTGTAGAAATATAGATTTACAATATCTCAAAGCAACAAATCAAAGATGAACAAGCATTCAAGTGGTCTGATTTCCTGAAATGGTCTAAGTCAATGCAGTCTCCTTGTTCCACTTCCACTATGTTGCACAAATTTGCCAATTGTAATAATATGTGTCATCTTCTCCAACTTTTGTCACAAATGTGATCCTATGTTAATTGTATCATGCAGCAAATTTTTTTTAAAAAATTGACTGTTTCTACCATTATCTTAATTGATTAAAATTAATTTTAAAACACCTGCCAATAGATTTTTAAAGTTGTTTTGACATATAGAACAATTTAAGATAGTTGTAATGTCTGATTAAAATGATGGTGAACATATAGATTAAGATTATTGTCCATGAGGAAGCTCCACAAACAGTAGACCACACTAAGTACAATCATTACAGAGGCACTGGACCCACAGGAATTTATATGTACAGATGGCAAACATTGCTGTGAATGGATCATTAGTTATGACTACTCCTGCACTACTTGAGCTGCCTGAGAAGGGTGTGTGGACTGCAAGAAGGGCATTTGATTTGCATTGGCTACTATAGTCATGTAAAGCCTTCCCATCTGCCACTGTCACCAGCAGGGACTCAGTGCATTCCGTGTAGTGAGCACCAGTGACCTGGACTCTTTCCATCTGCCTGGTAGTTACCTGGAACCGTGGGCCCTTTAATGACTTCCTTGGTAAAAGACACGCAGGGAGAATTTTCTAGAGACCAGTCTGTCACTATTATGGCTTCCAACTACAAGAAAAGTTTTTGCTTCTTCGGGTGCCTCCTTCAATAGGCCAGAGCAGGACAGCAGACAAGAGAAGTGCATCACAACCCCTACTCAGTCCCTTATAGGCCCTTCATATAGTTCAAGCTTTAAAGAAGTGGGAGGTGCTCAGCAGGATCCTTCTGTTGGATAGTGAGAAACTCTGGCTGTCATAGTCTGGTGTGGCATTTTTGCTAGGTTTAAAATATTCATTTAGAGAAGTGAATATTTTCTCATAGAAATTTCTAAGGATTTGGTTTGAAGAGTCAATAAGGCACCAAGGAGCAGACAAAGCTTGGGGAGAGGGGTCCCAGAGGAAGGCCCCTAAGAGGCCAGTCCTTGCTTCATTCTTCCTCAATACAGACTTTTTCAGAGACTTGAATTTGTTCGATGAGCAAAAAAACATGGTTCAGACCCTTTGTCAATAATAAATGCTACTAGGGAAACACTGCTATCCTACCTACTAGAAAAGCAGAGAGACTGTAAAAACCATGGATTAAAACCACCAATTTATGAGAACAAACTCAAATTACTAGACCTTTACTTAATGCTTTGCCAGCTGTCTTCCATAAAATGGGGCAAGTGATAGGTCACCAGGTCACTTAGGGAAACTAGCATTGGGGACAGACGGTTGCAGCAATGCCTGACTGGCTCCTACCTCTTCTTTTTGCCTTCAGGTCATCTGAAGTGGTCAAAGCCTGGGAGCTGAGGAGGAATTGGCACCACAGGTGTGCCACTAAAGTCTTTCCGCCTTGGAAAGGGGGAGGGCCCTGGAATGACCACGTCTGACCATAGGGAGCACGCTTTCTCATGTGGGTCCACTTTCAGGTAAAGGGGGTCTGCTTGCTACACTGAGAGGGTTTCTAGTTCTGAGAACTTCAAGTACGTGAAGGGATGTTTCAGAGACGAGTTAGATCGGGGAATACAAACACACTTCACAGACAGCTACCAATCCTCAGGGAGAGGGGCAGCCCAGGGCCCAAATCTTATTATATAGAGTGGATCTGGTGGTAATTGGTCTTTTCCCACTTTCATCTCAAAACAACAAGGATCCAAAGAAATGTAAGCTAATAACTAATTTCTGATACCTTATCTGTGGCAGATTGATGCCATATCACCGATGTTAAACAGTAATCTGTGAAATCAATTGTTAGCAGCAGTTAGCCAGATTGCTTCTCTGCTCTAGGCTGCTAATAGGCTCCAAAACTGGGCTTTGATGGAAGTGATCTCTAATGTTGAATGAATTTATGGCAATAATTACCCAGACAGAATGGTTCAAGTAGCTGACATGATTGTTAGTTAAGTGATATTTTTAAGACAGAAAGAACTTGGTCACAGTGCTTGGTAGAACCAGAGGGCAGGAGTTTTCAGGGAAGGCTGATGTCGTCTGAGTGAGCAGGGGACAAGGAGACCTCCTGCACAACTCTGGAAACTTTCCCACAGAGAAAGAAGGTAAAAGAGGTGCCGGCTGGTTGGAATTAACATATTCATCCCTGATTTTCCCTGAACATAGAAGTGCCCCGGGGGGAGGGCAACTCCTAGACAGTTCATCTCTCTGCCCTCCCCAAATGTGTTATTCCTCTGTCCTCTGTGGAGTTCAGGATGTAGCATGAATGTCTTCAAGCTTCATATTAATGTTAAGTAATGACATCAAAGAGGAAGCAGCTGTGTCATCAGGTCAAGATCAAGAGGTTGATTTTCCAGGGAAATTGCTTAATCACCATCAGAACCGAATGTTGTCTCTAAGCAGTTGATAAGATTAAAGTAATAGGTGTCTCTTGATGCTTCCTCTTCCTAGTTCATCACTTCCTTTTACCCTTCTTTAGTGCTAAAAGCTTGTTTTGACTGATTTTGGTGATCAGTATGAGTTGGAGTACAGAAAGTTTGCTAAAAAGCTCATGGAATCACCCGAAATCTGGCAGCCTGTATTCCACCTTTTATCCCACCCTTGTTAGACCGGTGGCTGGGGACAGCTGTCAGGCTTGGACTGACCAACTCTGGTTTTTTACTTAACATTCCTGTGAGATGGAATCCCCCAAATGGGTTCAATGGGGATTTCTTAAAAGTCTGAACAATAACATAGAACCAAGGCAAACTCACTCTCTAGTGTTGGGAGGCTTGTGGGGTGGGGCTGGTGAGATGCAAGGGGGAAGCAAGGAGATAGTTGTGGCCTCCTCCAGTCGCTGCTTCTTCTCAGGGATTTTCTCTGCAACTTCCGTTGGCTTTAGTAGGAAAAAAAAATACACAGAGCTTGAAATACATGGCACATTCAGACAAGCATGTCTCACACATAAAATAAAAAGTGAGCTAGATGGACAGTTTGCTTCTATTTTAACTTCCAGATTAGGTAGTGGAGTTAAATGTGCACCTTTGACCAGACAGAAAAGCAATCAGCTTTGCCTAGTGTAGTCTTTCCAAGAAGTTGGCATTTGAGTGAGTTGAACTGTGATGTGAACCTTTGATTGAAGATTGGGTGGGATGGGAATCTCATAACAAAAGTAGAGAGGATCTATAATTTTCAGACACTTCTCTTATCAGCAGTGCTCCCATAAATGAGTAGTTTAGAAACTAACATTGTAACGCTAACATGGCATAAATCCTGTCCAAGAAGCATGAGGATTGTGGGTGACATATAAAGGTTACTTACACAAGCAACAACATGCAAGAAAATGAACCACGTGCCAGGCACGCCTTTGCACCTTAACATGTGCTGGTTCTGAAGGTACATTTTGAATCCTGGTTGTACTTGAGTCGTGCTAAGAGTGGGGAAAGGGCCCCAGATCTTCTGTTCCCTATTTTGGAATACTCTCACTGGATACGTGGGTGCACAATTTGGAGATAATAACCTCTGTTTTTTAACCCTTAAAGTACAGGTGAATAAAGACATTATTCTTGCAGTATACTCTTTAGTACTACCACCTGGCCAGGGGTGGGGCTTCTCCTCAGTGAGGATTCTGATCCATTTCTAGCCATAAGTCTTTTCCGGAAAGGAACAAAAGAAATGGGAAAAGGACTAGGAACCTCCATTTTAGGCACAATGACAGCCATCACAAATGAGATTACCTGAATCTCACTATGAGATAATGTTACTGTAAGAAAATATACTGAAATCTGGAGATAAAACAGAAATGAGAGTAGTGAATACAAACTCATCTCTCGAGACATATTTCAAATAGAAAGAGGCATTCTGGATTTCACCTTCTGATTATACTTTGTAGCCATGGGATTCAGCCCTAACCTCCTGCAGGTGAGGTTTTCACAAGTCAAGCCTTCCCCATAGATCAGTGATCTCAGCAGGCTGGGCAGGACACATGTCTGGTCAAGAGACTCACAGTATAATTAGGCTGTGGGGATGCTAATGCTTGTCTGGGGAAATAAACAAGGCCCTGAGGATGCATCTGGACATTGGGGGTGCTTCGTTGCCCTGCTGCTGCTGAGCTGGGGAACTGCAGAGCAATGAGACGTGAAAGCAGAAGTCCGTTAAGGAGCTGACTCCAGGGACTGGCTGCCTGGGGAAGGGGACTCTTCATATTTTTCTTTCCTATGCATCATAGTCGCTCGTGTGTCATACTGGACACTCACCACTGGCTGCCAAACCCTGACCATTCCTAGTGCTTCCTTCTTGTTCGTGTCAAATACATTGCATTTCCCATTGAAAGCATCAATGCCTTCACCAAGGTCTGCAATCCACTGCCACTGGCCTCCTTGAAAACACGACTCAGGATCAAGTCAGACAACAGACAGCCACTGCTCACAATCAGCTGGCAGGCCACAATGGATAGCTTACCTTGTGCTTACGCTTGCCCTTGGGGGCCGGTTTTTCCACAGCTGTGGCAGCAGTCTGTCGCTTGGGCTTTGAGGCAGTTTCCTTGTGGTCTGGCTTGGCAGGTGCTGCAGGGAGTGAGTTGTGGCCAGGTACTCTAGAGAGTAAGTCAAGGTCAATCTTCACCCAGAGGTTTTTCCGATTCTCGTGATCTTGTAGAGGAGACAGCAGCTCAGTTTGCACTACAGGAATGGATGAAAAAGCTGGCTCCTCATTACTGATGGCTAAGTTGTTGCCACCGCTGCTGAGTAAGGTGCTGACGGTCAGGTTGACACCAGAGGTTTCCTTAGATTTGGCAGTATTACCTCCAGGAACAATGCAAGGAGGCAGCACTTTGATCTGCAGGGTCTCTTCCTGATCTGTGCTGGAGTCAGATGTAGACGAATCTGTCTCGATGAATTCCCGGGACTTTGGCACAATCTTGCCAGGCCCTCTGGACTTCTTCTTCTCAGCAGCTGACGGAATGTTAGGCCTTGGCTCTTTCCTCGGGACTGGCTTGTGAGCAGTGGCTTTGCTGCGGCCTCTTGGTGGGTCAGGAAGCTCCATGCTTTCTTTGTCTTTGGGAGTGCTGCTGGTAATATTTGGTTTGGGCCAGGTCAACTCGTCAATGCTAGTGTTCTTCTCAATCTTTTTGGGCTGTTTTTTCCCAATTGTCCTTTGAGAAGCTGTCACAAGAGTTGCTGACAACTTATGCTTCAAAGCCTTTGTTTCTGGAGTTTTCTGAGTGGGCCGAGGACGGGCTTTCTCCCTAATGAGACTGAGGAGAGGCCTTTCTTTGGGTTCGACCAGAACCTGGCTGGGGTTTGCCTTCATTTTGATCTGCGCTTCTATTGGCTGGATGATTGGAGGAGGCAGAGAAATTGTCTCCATGGGCGTTTCATTTTGGCCACAAATAAGTGACTTGTTCTGGGATGTCACTTTGTTAAGCCATTTATCCAGTTGCCACTTGTTGGTTGAGGGTGGCTCAGGCTGCAGATTGAGAAACAGTAGCAAGGAAAAATTTCACATTTGGGAATAATTCAGGAGAACCCTCAGTACAATGACTATTTGCTAATAACAGCTTTGGATGTTAAGTGACCATTCACACGTATACAAACATACACACTCATTCACACCCATAAGCACACACTATCCATGAGAATATCCATGAGCCAGATATGAACCAGCTGCTTTCTACTTATTTAAGCTAATTTCCAGTCCTTTGAAAATATCCTCCACTCTGGCCAGGAAGGAATTATTCACAGAGAGATGGCCCAGAGGGTGAGCAGGGGTGCCTGGGAGGAAAACCTGATCCCAAAATCCTTTGGTTGGAATTAGCACGCAACCTTTCACCAGGTGGCTGAGGTAATGGTTTCTGATCCTGAGAAGAAATTTCAAAAGGAAAGGCTTTCCCTCCACCAAAGTGATCTCCTATATGATGCTGTGATTCACTGCAAACAGAACAGTCCTTTTCTATTTTTACTGAAGGATGAAAATATTTGATTTCCAAGAAAAAAACAAAACAAAACAAAGCAAAAAAACACTGCACTTTCTTCGGTGTATGAGCAATAACTTGTTTATAGGGACCTGTGTACAAATATTAGTGTCCATTTTAAACCATGGAAATGGGACGTATGATTCAGGTCCTTGATCCCAGCTGTGAATTCTGCCAGTTAAACTAAAAGAGGTATCATTTTTAATAGAAGATCTCTTCTCTTTATTATTTGTTATGAATATTCATGGGCTACAAAGCTGACCGTCACCACTTGTGCCCAAGAAATGATGGCCAGATCCATTCTGGCAGCATGCCTATTAAGACAAATTGAAATTATACCCCGTGTCCCCCACCCAATTAATTCCTGACCTCCCTCCCCTTCCCCCTTTCCCCCACTCCACTTTGTATCCGTAGGTATGCTCTCTCCCTGTGCAAGTCCAGTGCAACACTGTGTTCTTTCTTTCCTTCCTTCTTTCTCTCTTACCTCCCACTTATGAGTGAGGAAGAGCTCTTCTTTTGAAAACCATCAGCTGAGGCTTATGGCACCAGCCAACAGAGGGAGACAGAATTAAAGACACTTAAGTAGCTGTGATGCCAAACTTCACAGGACAATGGCAGGTAAGAGTTGAGGACATAGTATTGGCTGCCACTGTTGGCAGCATGTCTCTGGGGTTAAGAACATCAATCCTGGCAACACACTGACCTGGGTTTCAGTCTAGCTCTACTGCTGTCTATTTATGAGATCTTGGGGAAGTTACTTTTTTAACCTCTCAGAATCTTTTTCCCTCATCTGCAAAGAAGAGATTATAACAGTAAGTGCCCTAGAGGGTGGTTATGAAGATGAAAATAGAAAGCGCAAGTCAAGAGCTTAGCACAGTGGCCCGCAAATGGTCCATATTCACTAAGTGTTTGCTATTATTAATAGTAATACTACTACTGCCTCCTTCTATTATTCCTTTCTGATTGACAAACAAGTGTATGACGAGCCGTGGAGGGGGCGGATTTGCTTGCTGTACCTGCTGCAAGCTCAGGGGAACTAAGAAGTTACACTGAACTCAGAGGGACAGGGAGGGAAACACTACTACTTCTATTTCTAAATTTTAGCTTGGTATTTTATGCAGCTGTGTTAAATGTTCGCACAAATTTTTATCAAACACACTTGAAGGACGCAAATTGAAATGAAAAACATGCGACCTCTCAACCATCATTTTGCTTTTAAGAAAAACCATACCTCTTGGGTCTTATTTGCCAAATGGCAATTCATTACTTTAATTGCTTCGATCTAGAGTAAGGGTGGGCGTCCCCAGGGCCAGAAGTGGGTCTTGACTGGCTTCGTTGATTCCCTCGAAAGAGAAGCTGCTAGCCCAGTCATTACTATTTTAGTTTTATACGTGAGGAAGCTTGAGGCTCAGAGTGGCTGAGTCACACAGCATGCAATGCACATATGTAAGGGACAGTGTGAATATGTTGTAGAGAAAAAAAATGCTATCAAATACCTGAATACTTTTCTCAAATAGTTATTGTGCTAAAGTAATTATTGTGCTGCAAGTGTGTGTGTGTGTGTGTGTGTGTGTGGTGTGTGTGTGTGTGTGTGTGTTGTGTGTGTGTGTGTGTGTGTGTGTGTGTGTGTGTTAGGGGTGCTGCCCAAGGGACAGGCAGACTGTGTTTGGGGCCCTGGCAACTTCACCCACCTCTGGAGTGGCCACGCGAGGCGCCTCATTGGATTCACTGTCAGTGGTGCTGCTTTCAGTGTCTGAGTCCGACTCGGAGCTGCTCTCTGACTCGCTGGAGCTTCCAGACCCCCCACTGGCTTGCACTGCAGGTGGGGGCTGGGGTGTAGCCAAGGGTGAGCTGAAAGAAAAATGGCATCATTCATTGCCTCATTCAGTCTCAAACTAGGCGGAAAACAGCCCAGTTCGGCATAAGGACCTACAATTTGTGAGACACAGGTAGAATGGAGTGTACCATTCCCATTTTACAGATGTGAAATGTGAGTCTCAGGAGGCCCAGTGACTGGCCCAAGGTTAAAGATTTGATTAGAACCAGGTCTACGTGTCTCCAAGTTCCTTGGGTTCCCATCACACTGTCTTCTTTCCCTGGAAAGCCTTGCACCCTCACTGCACAAGAAAACTTGAAGCCAAGGTTGCCTGCCTTCTGGATGCAGACACAGAAGTAGAACCTAAGACACTTAATTGTCTCATTTTTTTTTCCAGTTAAGATAATTTTTAATTTTCTGTTGCCATCTTATTCAAATCCGCACAGGTTTGTCGAGCGACTCTGATCTTAGCTAAACAGATGGTATAGTCCTATCACCAAGAAGGGGTGAATTCAATCCTTATTTTAATTGGAGGACACTGAGGCCCAGAGAGGGGGAGGGGCTTGCCTCTGCTTCACAGCTGTTTGGAGAGCTGAGAGTAGTACCTAGCACGGGGGCCTCCCAGCTTCTCAAGAGGTGGTGGCTGTGCTGAGTGTACTCAGTGCTGAGGGCCGGCATCAATGGGACAGGAGTTGGTCCTCAATTGCTGTCTGCTGGGGGGTATGAATAAGGGAATGCAAGAATGCACTTCTCAGCTTCCTCCACCATAATTTTTGTAAATTCTTTGTAAAACTCTTACCAGGAGGTATGATTATAAGGGACCAACCATCTCTAATGATTGATTTTAAATTTGTAAAGCTGACCAAGCAACGCGTTTGGAAAGTGACACCATTTGCTACTCTGCCATTATTGATAATCGATGCTCCTCCTTACCAATCGTTCACTCTCTGTGCCCCATAACAAATCAACCTCAGCTGCCTCTTGGCACGCTCGGGTATGTCATCAACTTTCTGTCCTTTTGCTCATTGTCACTTTGCACTGAATTTTACTCTGCTTTCTCTCAAAAATGTGGTTTGAAACTTGGGTGAGGGTTCTAATTTCCCTCTGTCTCTTCAGCCTACACCCCCTTTGGAGATCAGTTTAGCTCATGGGAGGGGGTGGGCCCCGGGCCCGGCATATTCTCTGTGGGGCCCAGTCTGGTCCACCCATCTGCCTGGCCATCCATCCGGCCCTCTCTGCCTCTCACACACAGCAGCATCTTGCCTTGCTCTCCCCCCGCGCATTCCCCAAATCCAAAGCAGCAACTCAGTCATGAGGGCTCAATCCTGGCCCTGGAGGTCACCTGGTCCTGTGGCCCCAGCTTCAAACCTGAGAAAGATAGACCCTGAAGGATCCCCCTGCCCAAGAATCATAGACCTTCATTCCTTGCTTGAATCCAAACAAGTCCATGCCTCCACCCACACCCTCTCCGGCACCTCTTCACCCACATTCCGGTTCTGGCCCGCTGAGCCGGAGCCACACTCAGCTGCTGCTTGGGAAAGGACAGGATCCCTGTGAAGCCAGCATGGGCTCCTCATCAGCCATTGCCCAGCACAGAGCCTTTCCATTTCATGTGCCTTCCTTTCCTACAGACTCACCCTGTCATCCCCTCAGGTACGCATTTTCTTTCACAGAGTGAAAGCTCGCTTTAAAATGCTATCTGCTAAATAAGAGTTATCTGCATATGTTTCTCTGCCAACCATACCAAGAGATTAGGGGAAGCATAAGAAATGAGGGACTATATCTCCTTGGAACATGTGTGTCTCCCCAAAGGTGAGGAGAAAGGATGAGACCTGTAACTCAGTCCTCTTTTTCCACTGAATTTTTTTTCCACTGAATTTTTTTGCCAACCTCTCTCTTTTTTTTTTTTTCCTTTTTGTCTTTTTTCGTGACCGGCAATGGATCGCAACCTTCAGTGTTGCACCCGTACCGGACCGGGACCGGCAACGGGATCGCAACCCTCGGCGTTGCGCCCACACCTCGCTCAGCCAGTGAGCGGCCGGTCTGTATGTGGGATCCGAACCCTTGGCGGGAGCGCCGCCACGCTCCCAAGCAGCGCACTGTAGCAGTGCACCACCGGGCCAGCCCCTGCCAACCTCTCTTTAATGTCAGTAATGATTCCATATTTATGCAAAGTGTCCTTTAAATCTAATCAGTTGCTTTTCATTTGGGTTACTAAATAAAGATTGAGAGAACATATCTAAGTGAGACTAATTCAGAGATTAGGCTCACTTGGCCTCAATTCTCCCCAAGTAAAGTTTCAAATATAACACAGAACATCTGTATTATTGAAAATACCAGGGGATGGATTGAGGGATAAGATCTAATTTGTGTCCACATTTATGGCTTTCAAGTGCAAAGGCTGTTTCCTAGTATCCTTTCATATCTGTACATTATTTTCTGGCTTCTCAGAAGAAGCTGGCTATCCTGATATCACCAGACTAAAATAGATTCTAGATTTACTTTGAGATGTTTCTGGATAGAGTTCTCACTTACTGAATTGTTTCTGAGCAATTTCTGTAAGAAACAAAAAAATCCCAGGGCTTACTCGCTCAAAACCAAATGCACTGAGTGATATACATAAGGCACAAATGTTTTATTGACCAAAGTCATCTTATTCCTCAGCTAAATCAAAGCTTCACAGATTTAGTAGGAAACTTGATGTGTGTGTGTGTGTGTGTGTGTGTGTGTGTGTGTGTCTGTGTGTTTATATACAAGTGTTCCTTGTCCAAAGCCACTCTGAGGTCTGAAATATTTGGGTATTCAGATTTAAAAAAAATAAAAAGAAATATGGTAAATATACTATATATATATACATCATACTCCCAATGGGATCTGGGGAATCACCCCTTAACAAACTCTTTAATATTGCTGCAGTAACATTTGCTGTAAGAAGAATAAACAAATACTTTAAATAATTACCCTCACATTATTTTAAGTCAGGTTTTGTAATCAAATGAGTTTGTCTCATTTTAACTTTTTGAATTTCAGAATTGTGATTAAGAGATTACGGGCATGGATAGACACCATATACGAAAATAGACTATAATTATAAATAGATATAGATATAGATATGAAATAAAGATTATTTTCAACATATGAGCAACCTTGACTGAGACCCAATGAAATGAGACCTAAAATTATTTCTCCTAAGATTTCTTATAGCCATTGCTGTGTTCTCAGGCAGGACCCCATAGCCAGTCAACGTTGATACTTAGGGAAAATTAGCACAGGACGAACAAAAAGAAGTACATCAGCTCTTCATACCCACACATAGATACTTAGGGATGAGAGGGAGGTGGGCTTTTGCTCAGGAAGGACAGTATGAGAATTCAAACTGGGGGTGAAGGACTTCAGTGTCCTAATGAGAAAGAATTGCTTTCTCTGGGCAGTTGCACAGCTGGAAACAGAGAGCCAGCATTTCTGGAAGGGAATGACAGTTGTTTAATTGGAAGCAAAATTGCTCTCCCCAGCACCTTCCTGTCCTCTTCTGCCCATCTGCTGCTCATGGGCTTGCTGGAGACTCTGGCTGCACCAGTCTGCTGAGGAGTGTAATCTGCGCATCTGAGTCTGGCCCTCACTTCCTGTGGGCCCACCTTGTGCCGGGTGGGGCTGCTCCCAGGGACAAAAGGTGAGTACAAAACCAAAACTTTGTCTTCACAAACAGGACAAACATCAATATTAAAATAATTGGCCTAGGACCACATTCTTGTCTGGAATCCCCTGTGGAACTTTCAACTTGGCAAAGTGTCACAATGTTTCACTTTCAGTTCTTCGCTGAAATCCTTTGGCTGTTTAACTAGTTAAATTCCCACTTCTGTTATACTTATTTTCATATGTCACTAATTTATTTTCTAAATGTATATTAAAGTGGCTATGAGTGAAGCTAGTCCACGCAATACTTGATTCTGCCTAGGAGAAGAAAGACCAATGTGCAATTTACACATCCCTCCTTTGCCACCACTGTATTAAAATTATTTCTACACATCATTTACTCTCATATTTTAATAAACTGCTTTTAAAAAGAATGCAAGTGGTTACAATGAACATAATGTGTGATAGTAAAAATCATTAACATTTAATATATTAAACCATCTATTCCATAGTCTGTAAATATTAAAAGTGTACTCTATGACTTCACCCCTAATGGAATACAACTTCTCAGAGGACCCACATTTGTAACTATTTCGAAGTCAACTGCTAAACCTTTTCAAAGATCAGATTTTTCTCTTGTATTCCTCAGAGTGAGTTTCTTTAGGAAGTAGAGTGAAGCCTCATTTTAATTATAACCCCATTCATTATGTCTTCATGGTCACAGGCCAGACTGAGGGCAAAGAAGTTGGCTAAGCAAGTCAGTGACCCTAGCAGGGTAGTACAAGACTGGGGAAGGGGATCGAAGGGCAGGCCAGTGAGCGAGAAGCTTGGGAGTCATTTAAAATGTCTTCGCCAGACAGGTTTGGCCCTGCTGTGGGACGCTTCAGAGTACCAGGGTGAAAAGATGAGCTTTAAGAAAAATCCTAAGCACCCTAATCTCTGGACATAACAGTCTCTCAGGGCTTATACTGACCAGGCCTCCTTGGCAATAAAAGGATCAATTTGTGACATCATAATAATGAGAAGATGCAAGAAAGATGAAGAGTCTGGAAGCCATACTAAAGAAACTGGGACTACTTTGCATGAAGAGTTTGGGGCAGAGAGAAGGTGGCTCACATAATGATAGTCTTCAAACAACCTTAAGGTCTATCCTGGGGAGAATAGATGGGCTTGTTCTGAGGGCTATGCAAGGTAAATATAAGACCAATGAGTTAGAGATCTAGTCAGGAAGATTTCACCTCAACATCAGGAAAAACTTTTTAAAATGTACAGCTGACCAAAGGAGGAATGTACATACTTGTAGAATAGTGAGCCCTGCACCCTTAGGTGACCAGATAGCCTGCTGTCTGTAGAGTGTGGTAGAGGGATTCCTACTATGGGTCTGAGGTGGGGTTTGATGATC